TTAAGTTATGATGATTAAATCAGGAGGCAGGATCGTGTATGAATAACAGAACAGAATATTTATTCAACAGGGATGAAGGGAACATGAGAATGCATTCAAAATGGGAAGACTGCAACCGGACAAAAATTCGTTGTACTTTACGATCGATAAGATTTTGGAAACTTTGATACTGAACACATTTTTGCAAATTACATTCTCGAGGCTCTTGATCGGAGTTTCTGATCAAGAAAATAGGAGAGAATGCGTCTGACAGGGAGTTTCCGCGAAGATCGACTTTAAGGTGGCACGCGGGAAACGAGACATCTCCGTGAACGTCGAAACCGGGAAATATCGTTTGATTTATAAGCCCTGGGAGTAACCAGGGACTACCAGGAACGTTCGTCATTCTGTCAATGGAACGGTTAGCCCGGGGCGATAGTCCTGCATATACGCAACTTCGTTAAAAACCTTCGACCTCGTATTCGATTCTGTCAACGTTCGAGATAGTCGCGTCAACCAAAATTCCTATTTTTATCTTTTACCTAACGAGAAAAATAAACAATACGGAAACGTGTCTGTCTGATTAAAACTGAGACAATCTCTTTAGAACAGAATTACACTAAAAACTGTTCTATAAAGAATTGACCGATCCACTTGCTCGTTTCAAATCCACGATTTCATCGACGCTTCCAAACATACGTTGCAGTATGAAATGGAATCTAACTGAGAAACACAAAACGGTATAATAAAGCGGCAAGTACGACAATGTGAAGCGCGATTGAAATTTGTTAGAAATTCTGAAGATGCATAATGGATAGAATGTTGGGCGAGGTATTCGAGCAGCAAGAGCTCGGTAGAATCTCGAGGAGGCGCGGGGACACAATAAAAGGCCAATTAGCGTGCTCGAGAAACCGAGGTCCCGATTCATCGTTCGTCGATCCCGTTGAAATATCAGCGGGGCCTCAACGGGAAGGAATTGCTTGCCGAGGCGGATTAATCTTCGCGCGGGAGGCGACGAGTTAATTAACGCGGGTTATAAATACGAAAGGCAATCTGCATTATGGTAATCGGTTCCTCGAGTTTCCTCCGACTTCGCCGCGACACCGTCTCCCGTTCTCTCCTCGTTCTCTCTGCCTCTCTTTCCCACTCTCGTCATCTCGCCGGACTGATCGCGATAATTTACACGGGATATTGGCATGATCTAATTTCGGTCGCTGCCAGACGGCCGTGTCACGTTCGATTACGAACCCACCGAGCTCACGAGCGACCGTGTAATTAATCATTAGCGATCGACTCTGACCCACTACCGCGGTTCAAATTGTTTACGAAACGTTTTATACGATCGACTCGGTTCGAGTTTAATTTGAAGCTGATTCAACTCGAGAAACAGAGTTCTCGTCGAGTATAAAATATTTAACTGAGAGCGAACAGAGGTATCAAATATTTGATCAGTTCAGATCAATTGTGATTTTAGAGCGTGGAACTTCGGTTCTGTTTGGTCTTGATAATTCTAGTTTATGACTCGTTGGAATTGTCCTTGGATCCTCTTCCAAGATTGAGTTTTCGAGTTGAACGAGATATAAAACGTTCAATCGGAAATCAATTGCGTTTTGCGAAAATCCATTTTTCTGAAAGTTCCAGACGAACGTCCGGGTGCTCATTACCGTTAACAGTAAATATGACGAGTAAACAGGCGCGAAGTTTTCTCAGAGAGGCGAGATCAATCAACGGGGTTTACGCGATTTCTTGTTTTCGTCTCAAAAAGGACGAGGGCGGGAAGAGGCACGGAGGGGGAGCGGAGCCTAGGGCCGTTTTCTCGGGCGCGTTCGTTTGCGCTGCCCGACCGGGACGCAATTTCCATTTTTCAAAGGGTCCAACGACACGATGGAAACTTGACGAAACCAAATATGCGCGCCCGGCGAATGCTTTGATCACCTTCTTCAACAGAGAGGAACGCGTGTTTCCTCTCCTTTTTCCATCGGGCGTACCAATCTCCGAGTTAATGTACGTCGTCTCTGTTTATGTACCTCTTCCGGGCTAACGCAGTTGCGACCCGGCATGGCGAAACGTTTCCTTGCGCAGCGCCGGTGAAATAATTAATATAGAGCTTTTCGCCCGGGGAACGCGTAACGTCGCGACGTCGTTCCGTTTCCGCGATTCGACGACAAGGTGCGACGCGTCCTCGCGCTAATTGCAAAGGTCGTCCTCGTTTGCCGGCGATTCTATCTAATCTCTCTTTTCCTTCAATTAATTGCTATTGCGTTTGATGATTTTTGAGATTAGCTCGCGCCAGAAGGTTTCTACGAGAAATTCTACTAACTGCTCTCTACTCAGAACTAATGAAACTACAATTTCTTCGAATCAGTCGTAGTATAAGAAATGAAATTCCTGTCTGAATTTCATTTTCTAAATTAACGTCACAAATATTTTTGTACATCCGCGGTCTGCATTTAAATGGATGGTTCGATAGAATAAGGAGAATGACAAAGCTGCGTCACGACTCGTGAACACGTTGCAAATATCAGTTCCACCGGGCCTTGACATTTTGCTAACGCGGAAATGCTCGGGGAAATAAATAAATTCCGTCAAAGGGCGGCGTGTTCTAAACATAAGATTTCAAAGAGAACGATTCGAATGTAAATGTTAAACGATATCCTTTGAAACGTCTTTCGTTTAATATGTAAAAAACAAAAAAATAGAAACAGCTGCACGGAATGATTATTATTAATGCATGAAAGAATAAAAAAATTCATTTTCTAAACTGAAGTCATAAATACTTTGTATAAAAATGTACGATTTTAAAAACCAAACGACTATCCGTTAAATTTCAAAGGAATCCAAAGCTTTGCTAGAACTCAACGCTAAAACTAGACCACACAAGATTCGAATAATACATGGATTATAAATACAGATTTATGCTCACTCTCGGCAATAAAATAAGCATATTCAGCGATGCAGCGCGTACGAAAGTAGCGAGGGCCATAAACGCATACCAGCAGACGTTAGTCACAGGTATTATTATGATTCATCCATTTCCAGATCTCTTTCATACAGCATACAGCCCAGTCTCGGCGTGTTACTGATGCGGAGACTTATGTGAAAATCGTGTTTCAAGTCAAACATCTTTAAATTCGGGAATTTTTATTTAATATAAATAAATGATTGACGTGCAAAAATTCTCAAACATGTTTCTGATGATTTTCAGAATTATTATACATTATAGATTAAGAGAACAAAATCTCAGACACGGTATAATCAAGACGACGATATTTTCGGTTTGTCTCACGACGTCGAATTCTGCCACGATTGAAATCAAACAAAATCGCGGTAATTTCTCAGGAGATTCGTTCAGCGACTTCCTGTGAATCGCGTCGTACTATGCGAAGAAAGTGGGCGAAGAAAGAATCGAACGAGATTAATAATAAAACCGCGATAGGAGACGCGGGAAGTTTAATAGGATCCGAATAGCCGCCGGTGTCCAGCCGGAAAATCCGAATTTATGAACCTCCGGAAGGATTTAATTTATTTAAATTTCCGACCAGCGAGCACCCCGTACTCTAATCCTGATTTACCACATGGCTTTTCTTGTTACAACCACGCACGGCCCACTGCGCCGCGCGGCTTAAGCGGCCTGTTATCACGCGGCTGCTTATAAACCGTGTTTGCCCGGCTGATAAGCGGCCGTGAAACCGGACAGCCCGTTCCCGAACGGTAATGGACAACGCCGCCAGACTTCCGCAACTACGAGCATCCTTACAGTCCTGTGGGAACGTTCGTGCGATCATTTTCAGACTATTGGCATTCGAAAGGAACTGGATCATTAATTAACCGGTGTTACAGAAAGATTTGTTCGTGACTGACTGTGGACTTTCATAGAAATACAAGTATTTTGTATGCATCGCAAAGATTAGATCCTGCGATCATTTTCAGGGCGTTTTAACTTTTAACAGATGTTTCATTATTACTAGTGCTAAATGTACAAATTTTTATACTCATAAGTACAAAAGCTGCTCCTATTACCATTGACTGGTCGTAATCAATTTTCTAAATAGTCGACGCATTACGAGAACGAGGAAAGTTTCGAAAATATGCGAAGCCCCTTTCTTATTCCCATACACCGGTGGAATCTGCGTGAAATGTAGCCAAACTTCGCGAAAGCAAACTGAATGAAACAAAGCGAATTTCCCGTTTCCCGTGGCAGGGTAACTTGCTACTTATCGTCGCGATCCCCGCGCTCCAGACAAGTGCCAGGAAACTTCGTTCGCACCTGTATCTTGCGAGACAAGAAACCGTGATATTCGCGTGTTCCCTTTAAGCGTCTCGAGGAGGGCATTAATCACTCGGGGGTAGCCAGAAGACGAAACAGTCGGAAGAAGGCCCATCGCTAATCGGCCTCCTAATCTCCGTTCCGTCGCGATCAATCAAAAACCATCCGACCACACGAGGAAAGAAGTGTTTTATCATTTGTTTCACGCTGTTCAGCCGCGTGTCCACTTACATCATATCGTCAAACAATTGATTATCTTTACGTATCACTAAAAAATTAATTTTGTTGCTGGTCGGAGCTTAGCGAATTTTCCTGTATTCTTGCATCTCGGCAAGTTTTGTCATCTTAAATAATAGCTGTTTCTTAATTGCTCTGTAAGTATTACGATACGTCATAAGAGTTACATGGGAATGCAATTACAAGTAGGTACGCAAGTTGAGGGGCGCACGTTTCGAGATTAAGCGTATGAGCCGAAAGTTTAGTCTGCAGGTTAAGTAATTGGAAAGCCCGGTCCGCGGTGATTTATCACCTCGACGCAACGAAAGACGAAGGGTTAGAGGGCAGAGATTGTTGCCTTGACCAATGATCGATCGTTTCGATAGGTTCGCCGGACGGTACGACGATGCTTCCCGTCTGCTGCCAGACGGGTCGGAGCTCGTGATTAAGTGAATTCCGCGAGAAAAACGATAGTCCCGATTCAACAACAATGATGCGAGTCGAACGCGTTTTTCAAGTTGCAACGATTTTCTTACAGGCCAGAACGACATCAAGAAGCTGCGCAGGGAGAACGAGCAGCTGCGTAGGGAGATATGGAGCCTCCGCGACGAGTACGACAAGCTCGAGGAGATCCTGAAGAGGCAGAAGGGCCGCGCGGACAGCGAAGAATACGAGGAGGTACTTGGTTATTGAAAAACCGGGGGCGGACGGGTGAATGATCGATGCCTCGATTTTCGGGATTTTAACGCGATTGATTGATACGAGTTTGTTCAGAGAGGGATTTAGATACTGGGTTATTGATGGGCGACTGATCTATGTATCATGTGATGTGCGATATGAATGCAAAGAATTAGTAAAGACACGTTTCTTAAATGATCCCGTGAAATCGAATTCACTCGTTCGAACGTGACTCGCCTTTTGAAAAATGATTTTATAGAACGATGCAAATAAACAGATAATTAAATATCAGGACGAAGTTTGTGTACATCAAATGTATATTTCAGGATCGCTCGGACGAGGATGACGGGCTGCAATCGGATTACTCGTTCGAGGACGAGGAGGAGCCCGACCGGGACACCCAGGATTCCAGCCAAGAGCCCAGCAAGCCCGAGCAGATAGAAAACGCGGAAAACCAAAAGATCTCTTCAGAGAAAATGACCAGCAACACGTTACACAGGCTGCACGTGGACTTCGACGACCTGTCGGTGGTCGACGAGGAGGAAGAACCGAAAAAAGACAAGGACAAGAAGAAAGTCTGTGTGGAGGACGCCAAACAATCCAAAGAAGAGAAGACTCCTCTGTCTATTCTAAAATCGAGACAACTGCACGAGAATATTCCGTTTTATCCCGGCGCGTATCAACCGGCTTGCACGACTAGTCCCAGTTATTACACCGAGTGCCCTTTCAAGTTCCCGAGTACGGCGAACCTCATGATGCCAATGGACACGATGTTAGCTTCACCGTGTTCGAGATTAAACGTAAATCAATTGGTCTCTGTACCGAACTTGGTCGATCCTTTAGACCAACTGCAGGATCAAATACTGCACGCACCTCCGGCAGGTTGGCAAAGTAACGTGATGGTACCTCAGAAGCAAACCGCGTTCGGGTTAGAAACGAATGGTACCTCAGGTATGCAGAGTTTGATCCATCAAGATCAGGCAAAACTCGGGCCAACGAGTGGATTCTCGAATTTGCCAAGCTTCGTGCAAAGGCGAACTCCCGGTCTCAAGTCGTCGAGTAACCCGTTCAGTCCGGCGACGTTTGGCAACGCACATCAGAACCCGGAAAAGATCGTCGAGAACGGCTGGGGCACGAACGCGAGTTCGAAAAGCATGATCGATCAAGGTACGAAGGTCGTGGAAATGGAAGATGGCTCGGAATCCGAAAAGCCGAAACACTTCTTCGCGCCGTTGGCTTCGAAACTGAAGAGGCAAACCGACGAGTCGTCGCCAACGATTAGTCAATTTGGAACTGGTAACAGTTCTAGCAGTGGGAAAACTGGATCCACCGTGATATCGAAAAATCAATTCACGCTTCAGAAGGGATCAGCCGACGTCTACGTGAATGGAATGATTCCGCGGGACGACGGTTTCCAGAGGAACAGGACAGAGCAACGCACGTTCCTCAGCACGGAGAATTTACTGGTCGACGACGCGAAACCTGGGAACCAGCTGACGAAGTCGATGTCGTGCCAGGATCTGTCTAGCGAAACTCAAACCGGTTCCATCGGTCATCCGGACGGCAGACAACAGATGATGACCCAAAGTGACAACACTTTGGACAATATATCAGATTCGAAGCCGTACAAATCGCACCTGAGCGTGACGTTGAAAACGCCGAGAGCGAAACAGGCGATCAGCCCCGAGACGCCCGAGGTCCCGCAACTGCCTGCGATAGACTACAGGCTCTTCAAGAACCCATTTCTCCGGAGTTTCGACACGACCGCCGGTTACACGGACCAAGCGAGCGACGCGACGAGACCCTTGTCCGTCCAAGTGAACGACGACAACCTGTGTTATTATTCACCTCAGCCGGAACCGTCGACTCTCCGCAGAGTTCCATTCGCGGAGAGATACAAAACGCTTCAAGCCGATCAAAGTCGTCTCCTGATCCCGTCTAATCGATTGGTCAACGAGAAACTGATCTCACCGACGAGCAAGCACCAGATACAAGTGACCTCGTTCGAGAGACCGAGCCCTCACACTCTGATCGGTCCTTCGAGCCCCTACGAGTTGAGCACTCTATGTCGATTGAACGCTAATCCTTATTTACAGAGTTCAAATCTTTATCAAAACATGCCGTTTCTCCCGAGGGGAAGCCGGTATCCACAGAGAGGAATGATGTACTATGACAATCAAGCCCTGAAGGTACCGGCACAGACTCAGACCTCGATAGACGGTGACTCTCATCACGAGGACGAGCTATCGCACGAAGAGAGCGCACCGAACACACCGAGTGGTCAACGCAGAAGGAAGGTGGTCAGGAAAGAGAAAGCGAACAAAGAGCAGAAGCCTCTGTCGCCTAATCTGCAACGAAAATTAAGGAAGCAAAGCAGCGCTACGTCGTCGGAAGTGACTGAATCCGTGGGGAAAGTCCCTCAAAAGAGGTCCAGAAGGTTCAGCGTCAATACTACGACCACGTCCGAGGGTCAGGAGGATAAGAACGACAGTAGGTCGTCTTCGTCGGGTCAGGATTCGCCGAAGAAGGAGCAAGTGCGTAGGGTGTCTCTGTACTTCAACGCGAAGAAGAGGCCTTCGTTGGCTTCGGTGAGGACGACAAGAAGCGCCAGCATCGACGTCATGGAAAAAGATGCTGCGATGAACTCCGAAAGGGAAAGGACTAACTCCATCAGTAGCAGAGAGATGGGCGCTGGGAAGTCGAGGAAGGCGAGCACTAGCAGCGGAAATGTGCCTTGGTGCGCCTGCTGGGGCAACGGGTGTGTTTAGGCACTTCCTAATTGGTTTTATAGGTAACCCCAGGCTGGATCTAATTAGACCGTTTTGTTTATCTTGCGGTCTGGACCGTCAGCATGTGAACCTCTGTTTCATTTTCGGCTTGACTGATTGAACTTCTCGGTAAATGGCGCGTAAAAAAGTTGGAGTCATGTGTCAAAAGTGAAGAGCGTCAAATTTGCAGTGTTCCACGTTGAATTGATTAGTCTTACTAAGAGGGAAGAAGAGATTGTTACGACTCAAACGACGGTTTCGTTCTGTACATTCTACTTAATATGTGAACACGAAGAATGAGATAAGAAGAATTTCTATCAAAATGCAAATGTGCTTATTTCGAATTTAAGGAATTGTACGAGTTCCAAGAGTTGCACGTTCTACATACTGAGACTGTTCTAAGGGTGACATAAATTTTGTACGAGTGCAAGAGTCGTGATCACGCGTTTGGAAATATTGAACGGACAGCAGAAATATTCCAATAGGGACCGTATTGGGCTTTGGAGAGCAACTATAAAGGCGACCGGTGCGGCCAATGGGGGAGGAGGCCGTAAAACTAGCGCCGGCAGAACCAGGACACCGTAAAACCCGTTCAGGTGACAGTCGCAACGGTGGTGGGTTCCTGCCAGGAATACGGGAACAAGGCAGACGTAGTTTGAATTAGAAAATTAATACTTAACGAGGAACAAGGCGAAGCCAGACGCTGTCAATAATCGCCTCCCTCCGGTATTCATGTATAATGTATGTACATCCCCCGTCGCTCTATGAACTCTTACACGACCGAAATGCAATTATTTTGTAAGGGAGCTAACCATTTGATTTGACCTCGTCAAGTGACAATTAAATCTGCATTTACCTAATTGAACATGTATAATAGTGTACATAAGTTCGATACTTAAGAACCAGCTACTGTTTATTTTACTCGAAAATTAGATAAATCGTATCGTATAAGGGAATATACTTAAAACTGATCATACGTAGGAACAGTCTTGCATTCTGCTTTTGTACTTCACATTCAAATGTAATATATTGATATGTTAAAATATTTCTCGTCACGTTCAATTTTTCCCGTGGTTTTTAACAGACTTACGGGTTTTCTGCTGGATGGATCGGGGGAATTAGAGACCCTCGGATTTTCGCCCAGTCATTCGACCGGCTCTATAATTCATCGAATCGCTGATTATTCTACGCAACTTATTCCAAGAGCCCCATTTATTAATGGCGGCCGAATGAAAGGAGCAGGAGGAGGTGGTGGAAATTGAAGGCAAAGTTCGCGAGCATCTTCCGCGTAAACTTCTCGAGCGTTCTGTTCCCGTTATTCCACGCTCCACCCACCTCCTTTATCCGCGGTACTTTAAAAGCTGGAGTGGGTGAAGAAAATTTAAAGAAATCAGAGAAAGGAATCGGGCCTGCTAAATTGAATGTACTTACAATTAAACGCGCCGCCTCTTTTTTTTTACCACTAGTCCGCGAGAAGAAAGTTTAAAAGCATCGGGGAAAGAGGGAAACGCCTGCGGGGGTTGGAATCGGGAAATGAGAGAGCCGCTTCAACGACTATCCGCTGTGTACCGGGGATTCTTTTCTGGAGACGCGCTTTGACTTTTTTCAATAAACGCGATTTTTAAACCGGCCGTGAGCAAATGAATTATGCCGAAACAAAAAGCTTTTCATTTATGATTTCCCGTGTCTGGATGGAATTCTACAAGAATTAATAGAGATTCACGTATGTTCAGTAAAATCGGGAACGTAACACGTGAATGGCATAATTTAAAAATAAGCTAATTGAGAGGAATGCGCAAAAACGTAAGCAATTCCGATGTCTTTCACGTTCTAGCTGAGATTCCTAATGCGAGATACGACTTAAAAGCAATACGTAAAGAGCTCGGCTCGAAATCACGTTATCCTTCGTAAAAAGCAAAAGGCACGGAATGAAAATTGGCAAAGCTGCTAAAGACCGGTGATTCAATACCCGTAGTCTCAAGGCAAAAAGGCGGGGATTGAGGAGACAATGGGTTACGGGCGCGGGACACAAAGGTTTCAGCGTGGAAACTCGCGTCGAGGCATTGCAAGGGTGCAAGCCGCTGACGAGAGCGAGGCGTGCAGCGAGGGGTGGCGTAGGCCGGTGCAATTAAAATGTAAATTATCTCTTTTCGCGCGGCCATCTTTCGAGAACAGGCCGGGCGAATCCTGCCCATCCGTGCCGCCCTGTCACCGATCAACTTGGAACTAATTTACGACGACTCCGTCTCGCGCGAGAAACGTTTTGTCTCTCGACTCCGGACAGAGAACGTTAATACGGGGCTAACGTCGTTTGCGAATACCAGACGAGAGCCCAGGTTTCTTCGCTTCGGGCATGATTTTCCTTCCACGAGGTATCCCATAATATTTTACCCCTTGCGTCAATCGGCTAATGTTCACTTTGCTAAAGCCAAATGCTTTCAAACGCGTGTAACGCAATATGCTTCCTATCTCGTCTCAATTAGCATATATATTAGCAAAAACTTGGAATCATTTCTTGTACGACAATGTAACAAAATACCCTGTCGTTCCTTAATAGATTTAAACACATAAATGATCCTTTCAATTTGATACCAAAATGATTTGTATTGACGTTAATACTACGAATTTTTGTCTCGCTTTTACGTATAAATTATTGTTACGTGGAACGTATGGTGCTTTGAGACCGGAAAATTCGAGGTACGTGTGAGATCGTTCGAAGGTATGGGTGTCATTTAAATAATTGGAACCATTATTCTGAAACAAGAGCGGTGATAAGATAGGATCCGAGTAATTATTCAATGTCTGGGATAGGGATTACTTTGATCATAGCTTGGTGATGATTAGAGGAAGACTGATTGGGTCAGAGTTTAGACGGTGAAAATTAACGAAGTCATTTTGTAACACGTTGCGTTCAAAGGATTATATAACACGTTCATAATTTAGTTTCCATCCTGATCGAAGAGCAGAATTTAAATCGACGTGCAATTCTCAAAATTGACTTCAACCTTCTCACAATTTTTATATTTAGTAATTTTTATTTACGGATAAGCCGTCGGGTAATTTGTACAAATAAATGATTAAAAGAATTTGATCAACGAAACGGCGATTTGTAAGAAGGAAGGCACCAGGTGTTGAAAAGCGTTCGCGAATTTTCCGAGGACTAAGGAATGTGAAACATAGAGAACGGGGCGAGGCGCTCCGGCTGTTAATTACGGTCTAACGATTTATAGTAATTGAACAAGAACCTCCGTAAGGGATGCGTTTATCAAGTCTCGCTACCAAACAGAGCTGACTGTGGTAAGTACATATTCGGTTAGGCGGCCGATATCGCGCAATACAAGAGGAGAGATTATCAACGATGCGAGCACTATGCATTCGAGCACATGAATTCCAATTAAGAGCCTATCGTAAGCGTTTATAGTGCCAAGACGGGAACGGTATCCGCCGTTGTAAAGCCCGTTAAGATAATCAACTTTAATTACGCACCTCGTAAAGTCTTTGTGTATCCCCGTTCATAGCGAACGTCGCGTCATGGCGCCAAGCAAATCTTTTTGAAAAGACCATATAGTTACCTGAAACAAGGAGAACGATTCATACATTATTATAAACATCATTTTCATTACTATCAATAAGAACGCTCATAAAATGACTGATCGCTCTCTGAATTTATTATAAAACGCTTTATGTGAATTTCGTGTTTGATGGGGTTTGTCAAATTAACGTACACATAATTCATTTTCCGAATAACAAGACGGAATGACAAATGGAAGATCCATCATTTGATGATAAATGACAAACGATATTTAGTGAAACAAGTATAATTGATAGTTTTGCTCTATCTTGGGAAAAGGAAAGGTTGCAACTAATTTAGTCGAAACGAACAAAGTTCTAAACGAAGAAACTTCATTCCGAGCATAAATGTATCGCGCTAAGCACAATCTCCAGTCGGAGTGTCCTGCGCGGGGTGACGATATAACGCGGAATTACGCGGGAACGTGATAAAGCTCGCAAGCCCCTGCCCCGTCGAAATTGGGCAGACGACGATGTTCCCGGTGAAAGAGTAATGAAACTGCCGGCAAGTGTAATACAACGTTGATACATACACCACCGGCCAAAAGTTGGGAAAAATGTAGAGACGATCTGCTTCTCGAACAGAGTCTCTATCTTCATTATTGTAGCTTCAATATACATATATAAATTACATAAGGGATTTCAGAAACAATTGTGTGCATATTTGTTTTAAATCACCTGTTGATGATTACACTTGTTGCTTTAGCATAAGTAAAATATTCTATACTCAACGTATGGAGTCATTATTTCACCCTCGTAACTCTCATTAAAGAATCGATAGAATTTTACGTACTACGTTTTATCAGAGGGTGCTGTGCGTTGAATAAACCAACTTTTGCCCGGTGCTGTACATATTCATGTATACGAGGCTCGAAAACAACGAGGAAGAAAGCACGGATGAATTCTTTGGCCTACCGTAGTACCGTGGAATGCGAAGTGTTTGAAATTTCTTTAGCGAGAAAACTCGCAGCTTCTTCGGTCCACGTTTTTTATTCGATGCGGATGGAATATCTTTTTCCATACCCCGCGAAACTTCCGTCGGGTAATTTCGACATTTTTACCCGCGAGAAGGAAGCCGCACCGCGCCTCGAACTTCTCTTTGTAATTCTCGACGAGCTGATTATTGGAAATAACTCGAGCAACGTGGCCGTTGTTTCAATTCGTCCGCGTCTCCTGGGAATCCGCGGAAATTTTTCAAGTTCTTAAAGGGAGCAAGCAGCAAAGGAAGCGTTGCAAACTTCCAAAGCGTTAAAAGTACTTGGTTTAGAAAAAATTGTAAAGATAATATAAACTTTTTTTATATGTTCGTCAAACGAATAAAAAGATTACTGACTTTGACGAATGCAAGTAACTGTTGATGATTACACTTGTTGCTTTAGCATAAGTAAAATATTCTATACTCAACGTATGGAGTCATTATTTCACCCTCGTAACTCTCATTAAAGAATCGATAGAATTTTACGTACTACGTTTTATCAGAGGGTGCTGTGCGTTGAATAAACCAACTTTTGCCCGGTGCTGTACATATTCATGTATACGAGGCTCGAAAACAACGAGGAAGAAAGCACGGATGAATTCTTTGGCCTACCGTAGTACCGTGGAATGCGAAGTGTTTGAAATTTCTTTAGCGAGAAAACTCGCAGCTTCTTCGGTCCACGTTTTTTATTCGATGCGGATGGAATATCTTTTTCCATACCCCGCGAAACTTCCGTCGGGTAATTTCGACATTTTTACCCGCGAGAAGGAAGCCGCACCGCGCCTCGAACTTCTCTTTGTAATTCTCGACGAGCTGATTATTGGAAATAACTCGAGCAACGTGGCCGTTGTTTCAATTCGTCCGCGTCTCCTGGGAATCCGCGGAAATTTTTCAAGTTCTTAAAGGGAGCAAGCAGCAAAGGAAGCGTTGCAAACTTCCAAAGCGTTAAAAGTACTTGGTTTAGAAAAAATTGTAAAGATAATATAAACTTTTTTTATATGTTCGTCAAACGAATAAAAAGATTACCGACTTTGACGAATGCAATTATAATTCATAATTATATTAATTCCTACGGAATGTCTTGCAAAATAAAATTCTGTCAGACTTAAACTCCTCTCGGATGGTCAGCGGACATTTATTAAAACGATTAAGAACTTTGAGTCGAATTGGCATATTAGGTAAAACAAACGATTCATTTAAACGAAACATCCAATATCCTGTTATGAGCACACACGGCATTGTGCCTACGGGTTTCTGGCGTGGCTCCGCCGCGTTTTTGCAATCGCTCCTTCGCCGAGCCGCGCAAATATTTGCGAATTGCGCCGGCATGCGAAACGAGCCAGCCAGTCAACCAGCCAACCAGCTAGCTAGCTGGCTAGCAGGTATCAGCGATGGATGAACTCTGAACAAACGACGCGTTGTCGAACATACCGATTGATACCTCTCGATCAATTTTTCCGTTCAGGCACTGACTACGTAATTTTATGACCCTCTCGTTC